TTCCTGCTCTGAAAATAATCTACTAGTCTCATCACTAATAATAGCTCTTAACTTAGAGCAATATCTCTTTCCCCCACCCACTTTACAGCTAGTCCCTTTACCTCTCAAAAGGTCTTAAACAGTGCAGTTGCTTTACCCAAGAGGAGAGGGCACTACCCATTTGGGTAGTACCTGGGCCACAAGAAGAGAAAACGTGAACTCAGACTCTTATAATTAAGTGGAGTTCAATTCAATCAGGGATGGCCCACTGATGGATCTCATGTCTTGGCATAGATATAGCAAATCTCACAGACCCCAAGCCCTGCAACAAGCTATGCTGCTGCTGCAGAACAGCCTGCTAAAATCAGGGCCCTGAACAGCAAGGTCCTTAAATTCCAACATTTCTTCTAAGTTGGATGTTAAAGAACTAATGCCTAGTGCTGGTTCAGTATCAAATCTGTTCCTGATTCTGCGTATTTTAGAAGTAGTATGCATAAGGCTGATATAAAGCCAGCCCAGCCAATAAAGCTGAGGCTGCTTAAGGCTGCAGCAAAATCCTAATGAATTTTTCTGAGTCAGCCAGTAAAATTTGTTTGATGAGTTGATTAGGGCTTGTCAGCACAGGAATCAGAGCTGACTCAGCTACAATAACAAAAGTATTGTAGAAAGGGAAAACTGAAATTCATACCTTTAGTACAGGACAAAAAAATTATGTTCTGATTTTTGAAGATGCACAAACTCATCTTTAACGTTCACTGTACCTGCATCCACATCTGTCCCATTCCGATCCTTCATGTTTTTGAGTTCCAGCACTGTTTTCCTGGCTTTGGCAAAATTGTGATTATTCAGGATCAAGCACACGCCACGGGGCTGGCTAGTCATTTTGTAAGCTTCAAGCTGTTGCAAAGAAAGACCATTGGTGAAACTTCCATACTCTCCTCCAGGTGCTTCTCAGCCTTACTAGTGGCACAGCAGGGTGAAGAGCCATCTGGCTTTCCCTCTAGAGACCAATGGCTACAGAGCTTTGCTCCCAGGACCTGGCAATGCACTGCCCCACTGCATCAGTGAGTCTGTGCACAGTATGACAGCACCACCCTCACATTGTCATGCTTAGCTCATACGGGATGCTGCATTCACCCACTTCTCCATGCCCAGCAATCTGCCAACTGTGTATTTCCTGGTCTAATAAACTTAGCCTATTTTGCTACCCTTGCAAATGCTTCTGTAGTTTTTAACAGTGCTGCCTGTGACTTAGCTTCAGAATAAAGGATGTTACAGAGTGCTGCATTTTTTTTCTAGACAGTGCTTTTAACAGCTGGGCTTATAGTAACTGTTCACCTCATGCAGCAATGATCTCTAAGACAAAATAATGATGTTTCTAAGAAGCAAATTAACTTACCTGGGAAGATGCACTGCAACTGCCAGGAAAGTCAGGTGACACAGGTGATGCCAGCCATCTGGTACGGGCTGAATACAGAACAAAAAAGTTTAAGTATAGAATCCAGCACTAGAGAAAGGAGAAAAGCTCTGTTCTGTTTTCCATCTCCACAAGTACCTCCCAGGGTAAAGCTGTTCTCTGAAAACCCAAAATTGTAGTCAAACAGCTGTTCCTATTAGCTATTAACCACTACATAATCAATTAAAAGGAGGTAAAATGTATTGTGATCAGTTAATAAGTAACTGGATACTTCATCTCTTTTTAAAGAGGCACGTGTATGAAGAAGTGAGATGCAAGTGGTGTAGAGAGTCCAAAAACTGAGGAAGAGCAAAAAAAATCTAAACACTAGTTTTTTGATAATTTCAGTTACCTTCAGGGTCTCCTGTACTGCCACTCTGTTCCTCTGTGATGACTATCCCTTCTTTACCTGAAAAACATTAATTATTAGTCCTGTATGATACCTGTGTGTCACTTCAAGAATAACTACAGGGAAGAGGCCTTTTTGTTTTGTTTTGTTTTACCAAATAGGTTTAATTCATACTCTTCAATTCTCTTCAACAGGCTGAAGTTAATTTCTGCACAGAGATGCTTCAGGATATTTAGGTTGCCTTCTCCCAAAATCCCCTTCTTCTCCATATCAATGAAAACGTCGAGCATCGTCTGGGTAATCAGAAAAGTAGTTTGCTCTTAGGGCACATCCGTGCTGCTACTGGAAGGAAGTGCACCTAAGCTTTCATGTACTGACAGCACATGCATCCCAGAGTCTGTCCAACTGACTGGTAGCTCAGTTCAGACCTCAACTGAGTCAATTAAACGTAGTTCAACAAAACCTACAAGTACTGTAAGTATAAACATCTCAAAACATATTAATTTCCCTTCTGCAGCCCAGAGATGCCAAGATCTAATAACAGATAATCCAGGACATCTAATGGTGATCATACAGGAATATTTTATATCTTTTTAAATTACTGCTTTCGCTTGATTTTCAATGGCAATCTTGTGCACTTAAGTGCAAAACAAGAATCACTGTTGTGACCATCTTGAGTAATAGCAAAAATGGCTATAACCATGGAAGTATGGTATAGAGATTGCTCTGAAGCAAAAGGGGATCAAAGGGACACAAGCTCTTGCCCTTGAGTGGCAAAGCACAGTGGTCACCCCAAGGATTTACTACAACAGCATCATTAGATGGTCACAGCCTCTCCTCTAAGAAAAGAGGGAAAATACTGTGTTTCTAGACATAAAATACTCAGCAGTCAGAACTACAGGCTGAGGTAATATAAGAGCAACTGGATCTCCTGCAAGGCTATTTGTAAACACCATGCTCTTTGGCCTCTGCCTTGGTAAGAACCTGCAGCTTTGATCTTTTCTAAGTTTGGAAATAAACAGAACAAAAGCACAAAGTAACAGCCATAGTGGGTGACTTTCTGTGCTGGATCATGGCTTGGAAAGCAGCCAAAAGTTGGGCAAGATGAGTGAATGTGCTCATCAGTCTCCCATTGACCAAAGCCACTGAGGCCCCTGGAGCTCGTCGGGTGCTTGGCCATGAAGGCCTCTGTGCCTGGTACAGGCTGTGACACTGTTGCAACAGCTACACAAAACACAGTCAAGTCCTATATGTCCCAGAGAGCCTATATTGCCTTTCAGGTACATCCTTTTTCTTATGATGCTTTCACCATAAGAAGAGTGACACTCATTCTCCTCAGAGCAAACTAAATGCCACTATGGATTAAAATAATAATCTAAAAAAAATTAAAAACAAAAAAAAATATTTAAGAAATTCTTACAGTCTTAGGGTTTAACTTGCATTTTGGTAATTCTGTCCCCAAAAGAAACTTGAAATAATTCAGCTCATCATTGTTCATGTCTTCTGACAGCTGAAAGAGCAGGTATCTACGAAGAGAAGGGGAGGGCATCATTCCATCACGTTCCCAAGCAATTTTTTAGCACAATTTGACACTGTAGTGCTGAACTGCCACCTTCTCCCTCCCAAATATATATCCCCCTTATTTCCTTTTTAACTGGACGACTGTCAGTTCCAGGACAGCCGGAAATAAAACCATTTTCAGCTGCAATAAAAAGGTTTCGGTTTTCCTAAAACACAAACCACGCTGCAAACTTCCTAAAGTCGAGAAGAAAGACTCCCACCCGGTCACTTACCGCACCACGCAGCACCCCGGCTGTTAAGCGTTTCAGAAAGGTGCGGGTTTAGTTTTCTCCTTTTTACTGGGTAGAAATTTCAACTTCCGTATGGCTTGTACCTGCCTTCTCTTCGAAGACCTTTCAAGGCCTTCCAAACTTTATCCTGGTGCTCAAAACGTAAGTAAAAGCTTGCACCGAGCACAGAAGCGGGGACCCGCCCCAGCCCTCTGCCGCCCATCACTCACCTGTAGGCCGCCACCCGTGCCCGGCCTGGAACCTGCAGCTCCTCCTCCATCTCCTCTCGGCTGGAGCCCAGCTGGGCTTCCAGAAGGTCCATCCGACCGATACGGTAGAGCAGCTCCTTCAGGAAGTCCAGGTTCCCCGCCTCGATCATACCTTTCTCCTGTAACACATCGACGAAGTCCTGTGCCTTCTGGATGGCTTCCAGCCTCCTCATGGGGACATGCTCCAGGCTGAGGAACTTCAGAGCCGCCAGCTCGCCCTCGTCTAGCTCCTCGCTGATTACCAGCAGCTCTGACCTGGGCAGCTCCATGGTCCCGCCACAGCTCCAGGCCTGGGCCCAGGCCTCTTGGCCGCCGCGCCGAGGAAGGCAGGCCGGAAGGAGGGAGGCGGCGCCCGGGCCCCTGGGAGCTGTAGTTCCTCCCGGATTCCGAACTGCATACCGACCAAATCCTCCCCACGTTTTCACGTAAATACTGCGCATGCGCCAAAGATTATTTCTCTTCGAGGCATTTTCGACCCCCTCCGTTCGCAGTTACAAAACACTGATCGTTCTTGAGAAAACAGACCCTATCAGTGCAGTTCTAAAGGTTGCCGGAAAAGTCAGAGCAGGGGAAATCACCTCTCTGTAGTTTAAAGGTACTCACAATTCATTGCTATCTTCATACTAAGAGGAAGAAGCTCATAGCATGCTGGCTCACCTTCCTCCTGGCAAGCCTTTTGGGACTGTTAGCAGGCAATGCTGCACCTTCAGCGCAGGTGTTCAGCCCCATAGCCCAACAAGGCACCAGCCTCAGAACCAGCTCCAGCAATCATCAGATTCCCCAAGACAATCAAGAATCATGACTTCCTTAGATCGGCATGAGGGGTATGAATGCATGGCTCAGCCCAACATAAAAGTATTAACAATGGACACCTGATAAAATATATAAACTTTGAAAAGAGCAAAGGGTTTGAGCTGGCTTCAACCCACATGTTCCATTGTGACAAGGGATGCCCTATGTCATGATGGTGATAATACACAGACAGGCAACAAGAATCATGTTTGCATTGCAATTCAATTCTATACTGCAATTGCTAAAATTATGCTTGTGTTGTGATTTCAGTATGTTTCTGTATCACTCCACTAAATCAAAATTCCATGTAGCACCAAATATACCACATAAATAAATTTGATATCCAGTTCCTCCTCATGTGGAATATCTGAAAGAACTTGGTCTGACAGTATTGAACTCTGACAAAGAGAAATATGAGAAAACAGAAATGCTGCATATTCACAATTTCACTACTAGAGCTGCTGCCACCTTCCAGCAAGTTTCTCCCTGAAGAAGCAGTTATTTAAGTTCTAATTCCTTATCATAAAACAACATTCACAAATCTAATTACTAAATTAATATCAACATCTCATTTATGAAAACATTCTAAAACTGTAAAAAATTGCTGTCACATTTCATAAACGGTTAGCCAAATGTCAGCCACAGAACTGTGTCACACCTCCTAACACCTTCTAGTAACTTTTGCCACAAACAACATTTACATTCACATAGTGCTTGTAACATGTACTTATTCTTTATTGAACCTATGTGAACAGAACTAGGATTCTAAAAATGGGCATTCTCCCCTTTACGTGGAAGGTGGAAAAGGGTAAGGAGAGCAAAATAGAACTGCCAACTCACTGTGTGGAATCATTAAAAAAAAAAGTTTTGCTTCAAGAACACAAGCAAGATTGAATAAAGAAGCCTTACATTATGGCTACATATAGGGTTTTTTTAAAATACAAACTAAAAAAAGCAGAAGTTAAAGTGTCTCAAATCCATGGTTTATCATTTTACAAACTCAAAAGGAATGTGGCCATTAGAATCCCATACAGCTCCCACACACCACCTACACATTGATGAGAATGCAAGGTAAGAACAGCCTCACTGGCATTAAATGACATAATCTCGAAAGTCTTGAACTTAAATTTATTCTTTCCTACCATCACCCCAGCTGCTAATGAAGGGATATCAGTATGCTAACCCCAAGGGGTTAGCTGCCATCAAATACTGCAACAAGAGGGAAATATCTTCTGCTGATGCATTTGGCATGCTGACTGTCCTTCAGTCAACTAATCTGAAAGAGAAACACACCACAAACAAAAGTGATGTAAAAATCAAGAGCATTTATTACAACAGAAACAGTCCACAGGATCTACAGTCAGCTGCCAGGAGGAGACAGCATCTCAGAGCAGGGGATCCAATGGAATGGGACCTTTCTTCCAGTGGTGGACAGCCATTCAAAACAGACTGTTCCCCATGAGCTCTGACAAAAAAACACAATTAGAATCCTTATTATTAAAAAACTAAACAGCAGTGTGCTATTGATCCAAGTAAATTAATAACATAAAGCAAACCAAGTATTTGGAGGAAAAGAACCAACCTTGTATTATCTTTTTTGGTCCTTCTGAACAGGGATTTTATTTTCCATGAAAAAATTATGCAGCTTCCAGACAGAGACAGCCAATGATTCACCTCTAGATATATCAGCTACAATCTTACATGCACGCCCTGGAAAGGGATCTAGCATTCTGAATCTATCTGTTCTTTTCTTCAGATTTCATGGACTTACAACAAGTTGGACAGAAATGGGACTTCCACTGCATTTCCCATAACTCTTAAAAATCATACAGCTTGGAAGTGCTTCCTCACTTGAAACCCAGACTGAACAGACTCCACTGCTTCTGCAGGTCAGAAAGCCAGATTTGTAGTCTTCTGCAGCCTTACCAGATTCAGGTGCCAGGAGACTAATTAAACATGAGAACTGGAAAATTTAGGTCCTTGAAGGATGGGCCTAATTACACAGACCCAGGTAATTTCTCTTGCAAACTCTCTTCCCTGTGGAAGCCCATTCCCATTGTGATTCCTAATTTAGTGTATTACTGGTTTTCTACTTTTCAGTTGACTGACATTGCGGAATTTGGAAGATCAATTGCTTCCGTAGGGTTGATGTTATCTTTGGCATCTGTTTCCGTCCATCTAATACTCTTCCTCCCACTTCCTTGTTCACTTCTGTCAGGATGGTTAAGAGATCCTTGTGGCTTGAATAAAAATGAAGAAAAGTTACATTGAAATACATGGTACTTGCAGCTAGGCTAAGAAGCTGATCTGTGTTTGCTTCAACAAAGTGGTAACTCAGGGAAGGCTAGTAGCTTCCCCTCAGCCTGCCTGTCACTGACATCACACTCTCCATTGTGTAACCACAGAATTCAGTGTGCTTGGGGGAATAAAAACCACCTCCCTGTAGCATAATTTTACCAGCAAACCCAGTCTCCTACTTTGGTTACACTCATAAGAGCACTCTAAGATGAAACAGAACCAAACCTATGTGCAAAAAGAAATTATATTTTTATAATTTGGTTTATGATGGGGATGGGAGGGAGGTAACAATGAAAATTATGACTGAAGAAGACTGATTTTTTTTTTGTCTGTGTAACAACAAATTCACGTCTCACCAGGTGTCACTGATAAAAATAAATTATAAAAAAAATGTTAAAAAAACATGCTTAAGCATACGCACACTTGTTTATACATATAGTTCCAGCACTACAACCCTGCTTACATCAAAGACAAACTAGGAGAAGTCTCCAGTTTATCTGTAGAATAACAATGCCCAATTCCAGAATAATTTCTGTTCTGCACTGTCCTGCAGGTGAAAAGCATTATATAGCACAAATGCAAAACACTGATGTTTCAGGACAGCATGCTTAAGTATGTATGGCTACAATACTTCAAATTTAAATTGATTAAAAATAGCACTTACAGTGGGCAAAGCAACTCCATCTTGTCACAGAGGCACTGAACGTAAATACTGCCAGTCTTTCTACAGCGGTAGCACTCATAGTCTTCCACTGTAGCCATGCCAACCAGAATATCAGCCTGATCAGGAATGGAAATCAGAGGGATAGCATCTGTCTCAAGATGGCCAGAAAATTCATCTTCTACTGTGACAGCTGGATGACCTTCAGAGCCTTGGCAAGCCTGGATGAAAAACAGCTTGGGTTTGCCAGCAAGAGAAGGACAATTAGATCCACTGAAGCAGGAAACTAAGTCTTTAATATTTACAAATTCACTATCAACGCCTTTTATTTTGTCTTTTTCGCCATGAGAAAAAATGAAGCAAACAAAACAGTCCATGCTACTGTGATCTTTTTTGCTGTATTCTTTAACTTTTGCATACATCTGCTTTGCTTCTAGATCCATGTGCTCAACTGTCTCAAACTGAAGCCATTCAAAGACCCTCTTGACGGCCTCTGGGAAAAAAAAAGTCAGAAGGCACTTGTTAAACATAAGCAGTGACAAGGACAACGCTGAAACATCTGTCTGTGTGGCAGAACCAATATTAGCAGAAGTGTTCAGATCCCACCAATAAACTTACCTGACAGCCAGCAAAATCTAATTAGAAAACCCAAAGTGCCTAATTTTATTTTTAAACACAATCAGTTTAAGCATCACACTATCTGAAACAAAAATAATAATCAGTACAAATGAGAGAAGCTTACTGTGCTAAAGCAAGCTTTCGCATAGTCTTCTCAGATGCTTAAAAACAGCAATTAGCAAATGAGATGTACTCTTTAGAATGACAAATTCTGCCACTCTTAAATGAAGTAGGTCCCTCATTCTATGGGAATGATCAATGAAGCAAGAAGGAAGCCAGGGTAACCTGCTAACAAATGCAATGCAGACTCCTCAGTCTTATGTCAATGTTGACTAATTGTTGTGTGGGTCATTAGAAGTTGCTGGGAAGCAAGCAGCATGTAAACAGGTTGGGTGGCCATTAAAATATCAGCAATGTCTGCTTTTGTGAAACAGATTTTACTTTAAGATAAACTCTTGCTGTCACAGTTTAACTCAGGATCGGCAATTAAACTGACAATGTTTAACAGCAATTAATGACAAAATCAGTAAAAAGAAAATTGGCTTCATCCTGGCTCAAACTAGGACACTTGCTAACCTTAAAAGTGACTCTTGCAGAAAGACAGGTTTTAAGATTATAAAGGAAATCATAAAGCAGTAGCATTAGGAAGAAATGATTTACCTTGGGGGCAGTAAGACACTAGAACAGATTGCCCAGGAAAGTTGCAGATACCTCATCCCTGGAAGTGTTCAAGACCAGACTGGACAAGACTTTGAGTAACCTGGTCTAGTAGGAGGTGTCCCTGCTCATGCAGGGGGTTTGGAACTAGATGATCTTTAAGGTCCCTTCCAAACCAAACCATTCTGATTTTTTATCAGAGAAAAAAAAACAACAAAACCAATAATTTGGTTTTAAAAATACTTACCTCCATCTTTCAATGTTCCTTCTCTGGTTTCACATGGATTTTTAAAAATGTAGTTGTTAAGAATCACACAGTAACCATGGGGGTTATTTTTCATCTTATATGATTCCATAAGCTGTAGAAACAAAGAAAGCAGCTAAGAAAGCAGTGACAAGGATCCAAAAGAGAAATACGCTACACACAGATTGTTGGTCTTTCATGTCCAGGAGCAAAAATATAATGAGAACCAAGATACAAGAAAGGAAAAGCCCAAGAATACAATAGCTACAGGGGAGAAGAATCTGGTTTGTATCCCTGAGTCCCTCCTCCTCTCTCTCTGTGGTGAGGATGTGACTTTGGCATGGGAGAAAATGAGTATCCAGAAACACAAATTTGCATGTACAAAGGAAAAGTTCATGCACTGTATAATTCCCTCTGAGAGTCCTTGTGGGTTTCTAGTGAGGTAGCAGATTCTGTTGTTTGCTTCCCATCTGGTCCAGAAGTATCCTGGACAGGACCCTAATGTCTCAGTCTTCCTTATCTTTAAGATTGGTTTTCTTCAAACAACAGCTTCGTCATTTCTTGCCTAAAAGGTTGCTAACAGTAGGTCATCACAAAGGAACAACATTTGGTCTTGTTTTGAAAAAAGGAACTGTTCCAAGGCCTACATATAAAGCCAGAACTGCTCCCTTTTAGCTCTTCCACATGGCTTAGTCTTAAAAATTTATGCTCCCCACTCCCAGGAGTTGGATAAACATTTTAAATGTAATCTTGAAGTACTTCTCACCAGGTGTGGTGTCTCCTCCTCTGCTTCTTGTACTCCTGGAGGCACAGACACTGGATAGTGGGGTTTTTCCTTAGAATAATTTTCTAGGAGGGAGAAGATAAACATAACATTTTAGGACTAAAAAGACAGATCTTCCACTGTGCAAGACTGAAAAAAAACTGTACGAGGAATGAGGTGGAGAGTGGTTTCCACATGACTGAGACACCATCATTTTGTAGAACTGGGCCAAGCAGAGTTCCATTTTTGCAGACTGCTGGTTATTGAAGCTGTGCAGAGGGCAACAAAGCTGGTGAAGGGCCTAGAGAATAAATCTTATGAAGAACGCTTGAAGGAGCTGGGGGTTGTTTGGGTGGTTTAAGGGTTCTTTGGATATGGTGTTGGTGGGTCTGGTTTAGGGGAGAACTTTGTAGAGTAGGGATGATGGTTGGACTCGGTGATCCCAAGGGTCTTTTCCAACCTGAATAGTTCTATGATTCTATGATTTCTTCTCTACTCTTTTACCGGTAGCAAGATGCCGATAATAAAAGGCTGAATGTGAGTAGTCACCCCAGGCATTCACTAGCAGTTCCACTATGGGATACACAAGTGAAAGAGGAGATCCATTTTTGTACAGTGATACACTACAACTAGTTAATTTCTTTTTGAGGCCTTTGTCTCTTCTCCAAGAGCACTTTACTGTCTGGGAGGACTCAACAAAGATGCAAAATACCAGCATAATGGAAGATCTCCTCAAAGCAACAAAACACTTCATTGAATACAACTGCCTGAAATAAGCAAAGAAATAATCAAATCCATTACTCTGTCCAAGGAAATAAATCACAACATCCTTTTTACGAATTACACAGATGTATTTAAATAGAACTGAACTGTCAACAAAACAAGATCAATAAGACATGCTCTTTTTCTACTCACCAAGGGGGACAAAATAACAATACTCCTAGAAAGCCATTCCCATGACATAGGACTTGCTTATACTAGCTATCCTTGGCAATATTATTTTGCTTTTCTAGAGACAAAGCCACAGGTTAGCAGCACAAAGACATGATGGGATGGTAGCTGGTACTCTGCAGGGAACTGCATGGATGTGTCTAAGAAAACACATGCCCTGAGTCATTCAAAAGGAACTTCTGGGGAAAAAATTAATAGATCTTAGTGGTTGTTGGTTGACACATCCTGTTTCTCGATAGTAAGGCACAGCTGTGGTGTCACAAGTCACCACTTCAGCTGCAACAGCCCACATATACTGAAGTCCTTGAAATTTCACATCTAGTACAGAATGCTAATGGTTACACTTTAGCCAAGTACCCAGACCCCAGGGATATGTCCTTAAGGGCAAACAGCCTAGCTAACAGAAAATAATGCAGACAATCTCCCAAAACAAGGTTCCGCAAGGCAACTGTCACCTCTAGTCTCTTTCAGTGACTGAAAACCTATCCTGGTCCAAAACGTGCACTGCACCATTTTCTAATGGGAAAAAACTATTTAAGGCAAAGTAGAGGGAGAAGCAGACCATTTACAAGGCACAGAACATATTTCAAGGAGAGATATAAGATGGTATAATGGGATAATTAGGTAGCAGAAAACTTAAAAAAACACAGGTACCAAGAGCCACTCTGCCTCTCCTGTAAGATACTGTAAGGTCTCTCCCCTATCTCTGACTCCTAAACTGCTAAGGGTGGAGCCATAAATATTACCAAAAAAATCCAGCTCTATTCTCAAACAGTGGATTAAATAATTTACCTTTTTTTTTTTCTTCATAGGTATCAATCTTTCTCTTTAAGTCAGCTCTAATTCCCTTTAATATATCTTTCAGCATTGCCAGGTCATCTTCTTTAATTAACCCTTTTCTTTCCATTTCTAGCAACACCTTCAGCATCGACTGGTAAAACAAAAACACATAATCCAAACTCATCAGTGACCTTTAATACCTGCAGCATCACGCACATTGTGACAAAGCAGAAAACAACATCATCAATCCCAAAGACCGACAGCTAAAGACCAATTCCTTCTTCCTCCAAACCTCATTAAAACAAGGGTCAGAATGCAACGCAACTGAAGAAACTCATCAGTAAGGTTAAGAAAGTATCATTAGAAATTGCCTATGGCTAGATCATCCTGCTTTGTTTCAGCAGTTCAAAACACTGATGTGGATAATGACATGGCACCCTGTCATGCCTCTGTGTTCATTGCTGTTAAGTCATGTAGCTGTGCTGTTTCACATTTTCTATTACAGAAAATGAATTCAGGGCTAATTGTGTTTCTTAAAGCTCAAGAGTCCACCAAGTTTGAGGTAAATCTGCTAATTTTCCTACAGGTACCACAATACAAATAGGACATTTAAGGAAGCTTCTTAATATTAACAAGCTTTTTTATATCACTGTTCCTAACTTACAAGTACTAAACTAGCTCATTAAACCTCTTAATACTTTTGTGAGGCAGTTAACAAAATGCTGTTACCCCAAATTAAAATAAAGAAGAAAATGTACCAAATTATACACAAAAATCTGTGGTTAAACTCACATTAGAACTTCATTGTTTCTCTCCAAAGCATAGTTTTTCCCAGCAAACATCACTCTTCCTAGATACCACATATGTACTAATGTGTTATAAACACCAGGCAAAGACAAAAGGAAGAGCACAATAGATATTGCAAGAGGAAAAGATTAGGGAGACAGATGGTAGCGGGAAAATAGGAACAGGGGAGCAAAAAAGGGCAAAGAAAAGATACAGTGAGGAAAAAAGGGTCTATTCTTTAACACAGCAGCCATCAGCTAACATCACAATTCTTTCAATAACAGATTCTAGTGAGAGCAAACTGCTTTCTTTTTCCTCCCTTCTTATAAGAACTGGCAGACTCTGAACTAGCCTTGCAAGAAAGTTAGCAAGATCACTTTGCATACAGCATTATCCTGGAGCTTGTTCTTTGGTATCTTTTTTTGGAGTAGGAATTTCACGCTTTTGACATCATCTGCAGTTAAGTCCTCTGCAATTACATATAGCAGTTGCCTGGCAATAAAGAATAAAGATTGATTAAGAAAGCTATGAGAAGTAAACACTACAATTACACATTTAAACTGTAAAATTTAAAACTTGCAATAAATACAATTATGCTGGGATATTCATAAGACAACAGGGCAGACAGTAAAAAAGACAGTACACAACAGAACTGTTGCACAGTTCGCATGCAAATGCTTACTACTTCTGTGTTTACCTGTAGGCTGACACCTTTGCTCTGCCTGGGATCTGAAGATCTCTCTCCATCTCCTCTCGACTGGAGCCCAGGTGGGCAACCAGGAGGTCCATCCGATTGATCTGGTAGAGCAGCTCCCGCAGGAAGGCCAGGTTCCCTGCCTCAATCATGTCTTTTTCCTGCAGCATTTCAAAGAAGGCCTTGGGCTCCTGGATGGCTTCCAGCTTCCTCATGGGGATGTAGTCCACGCTGAGAAACTTCAGAGCTGATAGTTCATCTGGGATCAAAGCCTCAGAAATGTCAAAAAGGAGTTTGTGGAAGTCTGTACTCATTTCACATCAGGATTTGAATCTAAACACAAACAAAAGTTTATTTCATTTGTCAGTAACAGTAGTGCAACAACGTGTTTACAAGAGGTATTACATCATGTAGATTAGCCAGAAATAGATACATATAAGCAAAAGTACTTCAGTATAGGCTGGCTGTCTTGCTATCACAGCTTTAATGCTTAGCTTTTTCTCAACTTACTAAGGAATATAAAAAGCTCTACTAAGGGAAATGGATAGAGAAGGTTGGGGATCATTCTTGCTCCCTATGGTGTGTCCAGAGAGTGGTGAAAGAAACTGAACTCAACAGCAAATAAGTCACCCTTAAGCAGGTATTCTTTATTGATGGCACTGGGGCAGCACTGGGGATTCTCCACCATAAGTGCTCCAACAAGTTAGCAAAACACCCCAACTAATACGCACAGAAGCCACGTACATTCACCTTTATGGCAATGAGTTCCTGGAATTCTTCTATATAGTAATTTTATTTCCTGGAACTAGTTATATTATTTGCTTCGTAATTATGCATGCTAGAGGGTCTCCTGTGGGGGTCTTTGTTGACTTTAGCTCTTTGTCTGGTCTCAACCAATTTCCAACTGTTTTGTTATCTATTTGGATGTGAAAGGCCTGGAGATTGCCCAGGTAGGTCCAGAGTCCACATGACCATATGATGGAACGTTGCCTGTTGGTTTGACAGGTCTTAGAAGACTTGATATTGTCACAACATGCAGGATGCTTGGCATAACTGACAGTTTCCCAAAGTGCATTGTTTTAAAAGTAACCCATTCAGCTAACTTAGTACAGCAAATTAATAATTTTAGTAGATTTCTATTAGGGTTAATTCTATATTTCTATGAAATCTACTAACAAGTGTTCTACAACTATCAGCAGGAACATATAAGCAAAAGTACTTCAGTATAGGCTGGCTGTCTTGCTATCACAGCTTTAATGCTTAGCTTTTTCTCAACTTACTAAGGAATATAAAAAGCTCTACTAAGGGAAATGGATAGAGAAGGTTGGGGATCATTCTTGCTTCCTATGGTGTGTCCAGAGAGTGGTGGAAGACACTGAACTCAACAGCAAATAAGTCACCCTTAAGCAGGTATTCTTTATTGATGGCACTGGGGCAGCACTGGGGATTCTCCACCATAAGTGCTCCAACAAGTTAGCAAAACACCCCAACTAATACGCACAGAAGCCACGTACATTCACCTTTATGGCAATGAGTTCCTGGAATTCTTCTATATAGTAATTTTATTTCCTGGAACTAGTTATATTATTTGCTTCGTAATTATGCATGCTAGAGGGTCTCCTGTGGGGGTCTTTGTTGACTTTAGCTCTTTGTCTGGTCTCAACCAATTTCCAACTGTTTTGTTATCTATTTGGATGTGAAAGGCCTGGAGATTGCCCAGGTAGGTCCAGAGTCCACATGACCATATGATGGAACGTTGCCTGTTGGTTTGACAGGTCTTAGAAGACTTGATATTGTCACAACATGCAGGATGCTTGGCATAACTGACAGTTTCCCAAAGTGCATTGTTTTAAAAGTAACCCATTCAGCTAACTTAGTACAGCAAATTAATAATTTTAGTAGATTTCTATTAGGGTTAATTCTATATTTCTATGAAATCTACTAACAAGTGTTCTACAACTATCAGCAGGA